TTCCAGTACACGGAGACAACAACAACACACAGATAATAAAAGTGAGATGTGAATAAAATACACATGCATAAATATAAACCACAAAAAAAAGAATAAATTGTATGTACAGGTGTGCTATAGATGGAATAGGAATAGAATAAAATAAAATAAGTTGTAGGGATGTACTAGGGTTTAGGGTGATAAGTATAAGGTTATTGCACATACTTTAATTGCACAATGGGAGAACATTAACTGTTCGTGAGGTAGATTGGCTGGGAAAGAAACTGTTCTTGTGCCTGGCTGTCCTGGTATTCGGTGCTCTGTAACGCCGACCAGATGGCAAAAGTTCAAAAAGGAGATGGCTTGGATGTGATGGATGGGTTATTTATATAATATTACAGTATTTGTTTAGAATTAAGTTTCATTTTTCAGTTTTTGTAATTTTGTGTGTTTTTGTCCTTTTTTTTTAGCCTTATATCAGTTTTTTTTATATATTTATATTTATCTTGAATTTTTTATGCCTTTGTATTGCTTAAACATTTATTTCAGTTTGTTGACAAGGCGACATTTCTAATTTCTGTTTTCATATACTTTCATTTTTAGTCAAAAATGTTGGTAACACTTAAAGCCTTTGTGTATAATGCATTATAAAAGTATTTTAATGCATTAATTATGCCTTGTAATGCACCTTATAATGCATTGTACAATCTCATTATTGTAACCACAGATAATACATTATAACACTTATCAATTCATTGTTACACTATGCTTTTTAAATTCAGTTATAATTACTTACGACAAGATATTATGTGTATATACCCTTTATAATACATTACACATAAAGGCTTTATGTAAAGTGTTACCAAAATGTTTATTTCAATTTATTTTCTTTTTTTTGTCATTTTATTGCTCAAACAGAAATTAGAAATGTTGCTTTGGCAACTAACTGAAATGGCAACTAATATTAGTTTTTCATTTTCATTTCAGATTTAAGTAACCAAATTAACATTTTAACAACAATACATCATACGATTCTCAAAATAACGGTGCTCTGATTTGCATCGTGTCCAATTACACAGTTTCATCGTCACTATAGAAATATGGTTGACCACAGATTGCTATTGACCAATCAGAATCAAGTATTCCTCTCATTTCCAGGTATGTTAGAAGTAAAAACGCACCTCAAGCTCCTCCCCTCCTGTCTGGAAGGCTCCTATGGTGTTCAGCCCAAAATCTGCAGGGTTTCTGCGGGCCCCTTCACCTCTCCGCCGTCCACCGGATCCTCGAGAGGACAGTGAACTGGAAGAGCTGGGGTCCCTTTCTCCACGAGGACTGTGGATGCCTGGGAAAGATGGGCGACTATAAGGTAGGATGTCCTCTGAGCCTGAAAGACATGAAAATGAAAGTTAGGTAAATTGAGCATTATTTACCACTGTATTTAAGGTGAGAAAACAGGACTGTAGTGCATTACCTGGGTGCTGGCGGCTCTTATGGCCTGCACCGGCATCTTGTTTGTTGCTTTTCCCCGTTCTCTGACTCTTCTTTACATCCTGGCCCTCCCGCCGTTCTGAAGAGCTGGTCCGAGTGTCCGAGCCATCCCGGGGTCTGGGTCCGCCCGAACCCGTTCGCTTGTCCTTGCCATCAGCAGAACTGGATCTGGGCAACATGGCCCTCCGTGGGTCCTCTGGGATGGTTTTGGCCGGGTGTGTTGGAGACTTCAGCATGGCTGGAGGAGGAATCGGAGGAGGGGGAAGATCTGTGAGGAAACAAAAAGAAAATAAATTATTTTGTGTGAATGCATCCACCTTATTTTTAACATAAGAGTGGGTGTGGCCATTTGTAACTTGAATGTGCGGAATCATCCGTTATTTTTAGCTATACTGCTAGATATTATAAACTGGTGTTTGTTATCATATCATCATAAACCATATGCGTCCTTAGGGTTTTTTTTTTTTGTTGATAATTTTGGCTGTGTTGATGCAAACAGCCTAAATTTAGCCAGTTTTTATTGAAATTGTCCTTTCACAAATCTGGTTGGCCTATGAAGCAAATACTCTCTTTAACTTTTTTTTTTCAGCTGTAGAAAACAGTAATGTAATTATAATCATGTAAGTTTATTGGTATGGATATCAGAGTGTGGCTTGTATGTGTACTGAGAAATTTGTGTTTGTAAAATGTGTGTGTATATATATCAGGTGTGGCATATCAAGAGGCTGATTAGACAGCATGATTATTGCACAGGTGTGCCTTAGGCTGGCCACAATAAAAGGCCACTGTAAAATGTGCAGTTTTACTGTATTGGGGGGTCCGGGGGGGTCCGAAAACCAGTCGGTATCTGGTGTGACGACCATTTGCCTCACGCAGTGCAACACATCTCCCTCGCATAGAGTTGATCAGGTTGTTGATTGTGGCCTGTGGAATGTTGGTCCACTCCACTTCAATGGCTGTGCGAAGTTGCTGGATATTGGCAGGAACTGGAACACGCTGTCGTATACGCCGATCCAGAGCATCCCAAACATGCTCAATGGGTGACATGTCCGGTGAGTATGCTGGCCATGCAAGAACTGGGATGTTTTCAGCTTCCAGGAATTGTGTACAGA